CTCGTCGATGTGCTCTTCTTTTGATGTTCGTTCGACTCGGTTCTTCGAACAGCTTGATGCCGGTTGTGGTGTCGCCTCAGTATTCAGTTCCTCTCTCAGGTCGACCTGCACAGAGTTCATACCGCAGTCGTTCAAGGAGTTCGACCTAACGTTCAGTTCGATGGAATCGAACGCTTTTCTGAAGGCGACGAATGTGTACCACATGGGGAAGTGGTAGTCTGTGCAGTTCTCTGTTTACTACTCTGCGGACGGCATTGATGTGGTCTGTGCTGGAAGCCCCTGATCGGAATCCGGGTTGTTCTTTACTGGTGACCACTTCCAGGTCTTTTTTGATACGTTCCAGAATGATTAAGATAAGCGCCTCGTAGAGGTTTGACAAGAAAGCAATGAATCGATTGTTCTGGACGTGTTCAGCATAGCCTTTGTTCAATAGAAGCAAGGTCGAAGAGCTCATAAAGGCTTCTGACGTCTGGTGTACTGTGCGTACCGTATGATATATCATTTGAATTACTTGATCAAGCCGACAATCGATGACGAATGGCGCAGACCGTAACACGCTAAGCCTTCCCTGCTCCTGATATAATCTTATCACCGCCGTGATTGGCGGCCAATCCGCCTACTCTGCTCGCTAGGATGCCAATCAATAATCTTCGCCAATCATCTCACGCGCTACCTGCCTAGCTTACCGTAGCTGTCTGATCATCGTGTTGGAGATGTAGTCCAGTGTGAAATTTCCACCGTTCTTCTTTCGATGACGTGATATACATTTATTGTACATATTATATGCATATAATATATTATACATTCTGCAGAAACACTGTTGGATGAAGGTAATAAACTTTGCCTTCTGCTTTTTTTCAATCGTCCACTTTTTCTTACTTTTTCTTGTCACTTTCTCTTCATCTTGCTCTTCTACGTTCACCGCCTTTACCTCTTCCCCTTTCTCCTCCTCTTTCATTCTTCTTCCCCTTCTAATCTCCCACTTCGCTATTCCTTAAAGTAGATATTTTGACAACTCCTGTAATTTCTTCTAACTACTCCAGAATCTTATTTCTGCCAAAATAGTACATTCGTGGTTCCGCATCCTTAAGCTCCCCAGAGTAGAGATCACTATTTTAGAGGCTGTGCTGCAACCAGTTGTAAACCCTGTTGATGCTGTTTTTGTACCTAAAACCTTATATCCTGTAGGATCACTTGCCAAGGTGAGGCATTATGCAACAGTGGTTATTATAAGATTATGCTATCGTTATAAAACTGCGTTGCAACGAAGCAGTATGAGTGTTCGGCCAGCAGAGACACATTGTTTAGCAATTTGTTGAAAGACTGAAAGCTGAGTCTCGACTGTGTTTTAAACAATGGATATATATGTAATCAAAATTGGAGAAGATAACGAGTTTTCAAAGACAATTGGCAATATGCCTGAAGATCAAATCTGTGATTTCCCGTCGGACTAGTTCATGAGTAGCGCATCGCCAAAGACTTGCAGAAAACCGGTTGTTTTCTGGGCGTCGAACCTCAAATATAGAACAAGATCTTGATATTGGACGGTTTTTAACCCGTATTCAAGAGTCATGGTCCTCCTCATCATATTCGATAAAGTGTGCGTTTCAACAGGAAGATGGTTCGCCATCTCCACGTTGTCCGTTTCTCATACTCTTCTATGTGCGCTCTGTGTAAGACTCTTTTCTTCTGAAGCGGATTTCCGTTTCCCAGCTAGCAGCCAGAAGTAACACTTGCTTTAATGGGTAGCATCTGCAGTCGCAGCATGTAACTCCTTCCTTATAGCATGTTTTACTCAGTACTCGTATATTTTCGCTACCCAGACAAATGGAAGCAAGTTATCTGACCCAGATTTCAACTCACGCTCCCTCAACCGCAAGTCCGACCTTTTGCCGACTGATTCACCACGATCTCTAAACAGACCTCGTTTTCATTGGTGGTGCTGTTTGAGGAGGTGGCAGATTCTCTGCTGCTACAGCGTCGTTTTCACTGACTTTTCTTCGTCTCCTCCTGAAGGTTTGTGCAGGTGTGGTGGAGAAATATTTTCTGAAGCGGTGGTCGTTATGACGACGAAGATCCTCGCACTTTGCGCACAGTTCGACTGCTAGGGCAAAGCAGCGGCGTAGCAAACTATCATGCGTGTCTCTGATGTGTTCCCTGCTGTATCTGGGTCAGATTGTGTGACGTTTACGATGATTCCTGTACGAGTTTCTCTGCCATGACATTTCAGGCTTGGACATTTTTTGCTCTAGGCGGTTGAGCAAAATTGTGCCAGTATTTTGGCTAAGCGCTGCACCGTCCCGTCGTAGTCCTGTCAGTTGCAAAGGTTGGTTGTTTTTGCAGCAAGTAGGAAAATCTTGTCCTTTAATTAATGCAATAATTTTTGATGAACTGAAGGAGGTAAGAGAGAGCTCGATTATGTCTGATGAATTTCACGCTGATTCAATGCTAAGAACGTCCAACGAGTTGGAATCCTTATACCGAACGGTCACAGATCTGAATAAATGAACGAATCTGTGCATTCATTGAGTGATTCTGTAGATGGCATGCTCGTATGCGCAACGTATGCGATTAGAAATGGTTCATTCAGTGGTGATGGGTATGGCACTCATGTCGTCTGAAATGCCCGGTTGTTATGAAAAATGTTATGCTTATTTTGTACCCCTGTTTTTTGAAACAGAAATATTCATGGTCTGTGTTATGTTGACTGCGTCTGCGTGGTACAAGCGGCTCAAATGCGCCTTATGAGACGAATCGCTGGGCTGACGCGAACATCTTCTTGTACATGTATAGTGAAGTCACGGCTGCAATG